GGGAGGGGAGTAAAGAGGGTGGAATAAAAAACGAGGGGGTTGGTGAAGAGACAATAGGGGTGGGTGAATCGGGAAAAGAGGGGAGAGAGAACAGAAATAGAGGGGTGGGTTGAGAGAAATAGAGGGGTGGGTGAAGCGGGGAAAAGGGTGGCGTGGGACTGGAAGTGCAGAGAGCGAGGGCTATGTAGCTTCAAGAGAACAAAACACTGTGGGCGGAGTTTTAGACAGCGTACGGTTACGGTTCCTTTAATAGGCCCACGGATAAGGCTACTCGTTTTCCTTATCTGGAAAAAAGGAGTATGTTGGTTCCAAACGAGGGTAGACATATCGCTTTCCTGGAGAGACGAGGAGGTGGGGAACAGACTCGTTTGTTAATGGCCAGGAAAGGTTTGCTACATTTCTCGGGAAGAACTCAATACGGTATGTTGAATTGGACAACCTTGCTCACTTAAATGTTGCTGGAGATGACTGTGGTGGGGATGACGATGATTACATTGTTCGTATCACTGATCTTCTATGCTATTGTTGTTCTTGTATTAATTGCCGTAGTAGTTATTGTTGTTGGTAGTGGTGGTGGTGTTGACGGTGATGGTGATTTAGTTATTGCTACTGCGGATACAGTACTTCTTTTTGTACAAGAAAAATATAAATTCTATTGTTTTAAGGGTCTATGGGTGTGGGGTTTGTTGGGGGGGGGGGTTGTTGTTGTTTTTTTGGTTGTTTTTTTCTTTTTGGTTTTGGTTTTTGTTTGTTTTGGGGTGTTTTGTTTTGTTTCTGTTTCTTCCTTTTTGGGGGGGCTTCCGGGTGTTTTTTTTTTTGTGGGGAGGGAAGTAAGGGGGTAGGAGGTGTGGGTGGAGGTGTCTTTATTTTCCCGGCAATGCGGTTATTGCAAGTGTTATATAAAAAAAAAAATTATAGGTCTAGTCTACAGTCAATTGTTCTTTTGAGTGTTTTCGTCATCCTTGCTGTTGCTGCCGATGCTGTGTATTACAGTTTTGCTTTCAGCATCGTCAATGTTAGTTCGTTTATATTGTTGTTATTGATGCTGTCTTTTTGCTGTTTGTAGGGTGGTGCTGTTTTTGTTTTGGTTTTTGGTTTTGTGTCGTTGTCTTTTTCTTTGTTCTTGTTTCGCTGTCTTTCCATGCCTGTGTTTTTCTAGCTGTTGATTAGCAAGTATATTATTATGATAAGGCTAATGAAGAAGAAGACAACGGATGATAATAATGATTTTGACAACGATGTTGATGATGGCATGTAATAGGGATACCCTTATACTGTTTATATCCATGTAGGGTACACCGATTGTGAGACAATGCTGAGAAGAGATAGAAATCCAGTGTTCGGTATCGATTCCCCTGTGCTGTGCATGGAGCTGGACGACGACTACGCCTACCCTTCGATCAACCAAAGAAAACAGGTGGTAGCGATGGAACTGCCAGGTATTAATACCAGAAAAAATGTTTACGGCAAAGACCGTACGTTACGGTTGAGCTTCTGTTTACGTCAGTATTAGGTTCAACAAGAGTGAACAATCATTTACTCGGAGGTATCGAATAAAATGTTGGCCGGG